CCCCTGGAAAACCTATAACTCTCATTTTTAAATTGGAACTCTTCCTTCCACAGAGACTCCCGTGCTACCTGAAGAGAGATTCGTGGGCTTCCACATTCCAAGAGTGAAATTTTTTTTGGATCTGCAAGAAATCTTTGCCTATGAGATGGTGAATCTACATTGGCATCAAAGAGAGATCCAGCTCTCTGTGGCCCTTGGTATGTCCCATTGTGTGAATCTGGATGTCCCCTCTTAACATCATTCTGGACCCTACAGCTCACTGTATTGAGAAGTGGCAGAACACTGGGTGGGTCATGGGGCACAGGACATATCCTTTATGTGGCTTCATGCTATTTCCTGTTACTGCATTCATAGCATGAGAGCAGGATGAGATGAAGGTGACGTGCCCCTTGTGCTTGCCTCTCCTGCCTGTGCCTCCATGATTTATGTGCTGTGTTCCAATGGCAACCTGCTAGGAAATTTTTGGCCTTGAGATCCTTTAATCAAAATAAACTTTTCATTTTAAAAATTGTGTTACTCTGTTACAGCAACTAAAAGTGCATTCAGGCTGGACTTCTGAGGATTCCCTTCCCTTACACTCTTGGGGTGGATATGTTTATGATAGAAGACTCTCATGGGGGAATCGTGTTGGACACAGGCCTAAGGGCAACACCAACTTCCTAAGACCAAAACGCTCTCCTCCCTGTCTCTCATCCCTCCTCATGCCCAGGCACGACTCCTCCATCTACTCAGACTCTAGTGTTGGTTACTCAGAGCTTAGTCCACTGCTGCTTTCATTCCCTGTTTCTCTCTCTGGTCTGGTACCCATGTGCCAAGGGAGCTTCTGGTCACAGTGAGGTTGTCACAAGAATCCCCAGCCTGCTCCCTGCTGTCCCCTCTCATGCATGTGGACTTCAGTGAATGCCTATCCAGGAATCATTGGAGAGGGGCAGGTGCTTCACCAAGGTAGTTCCATGAAATTCTCTCCAGCCCCTACCAGTATTCAGTTTAAACTTTGTGCTATTGTTGATGCTCCCTTTACCACTTTAGCCAAGGTGACAGAGTTATTGCTACTGAACCAGTCTGTGAGGGGGATTTCTTCTTCCAGCGCCTAGTGTGATTTGTGTATGTGACTGTATGGTATAAGAGGTTGAGCCAAGGTGGCTGTCACAGGTTCCTGAGACCTGGTTTTGAGTTGCGGGAGCTGCTAAGACTGGCAGTGGCGGTGTGGGGTTCAATCTGGCCAAGGGTTTTCGGTTCCTATGACTTTGCTGGCTTGGTGCTGCAGATTTTGGTCATGTAAATAAAATGTTGAGGATCCCCTCTTGTATCAGGCCATCATGCTGTGACTGCCATTTTAATTTTTGTAAAGTCTCTCTGTGGTAGCATTCTTGCTGGTGGTTTCGACTCTACCTTGGCCCATCTTAATCAGGTATGAGTGTGCTGGGGAAGTTTGCTAATAGTAACCACATTCAAGAAGTTAAGATTGCTCATTCTGTGACAGTGTCTTCATTATATATCTTCTCCTTTCACTTTTATGTATGTACACAGGTCATTATTTTTATATTAATGGTGTGCACTTTAGAAACATGTGAGATTTTTTAAATGTTATAATCAGTTGTGTTTTCTGTGTAGGACTTGATGCCTGATGGATGTTGCTCTCATTTTCTGGGCCCAGTCTTCCTTAAGTTGTGAACGCACCAGTCCCTGACCCTGAAGTGCCTACAGATTGAGGGACACACCTGGTGAGGTTTGGAACTTCCCTTCTTGCATGGTGAACAAGTGTGACTTCCCTGCATTCTGTTGTTTGGTGAAGGAAAACCGAACCAGTGTGGACAAGGATGCTAGTTGAGAAGTCTCTCATTATCTACTGTAGTTACCTACCTCTCCACCATTTTCTTTTTCTACGTTCTTGTAGTTTTTTAATTTTTTCAGTTTTTATTGATAACAGTTTGCAGCATTCAGTGGTTACATTCATTGTGGGAGTTGGTCCATGTGTATGCATGGCTCTTGCAGAATAATACACAGAAGGGACCTCAGGGTCACAGAGTTGAGCTGCAGGAAGAACAGCTTCTGGTTGCGTCTCTTCTCGACTCTTGAGGGAAGGGATGTAGTTATTGCTACATCATCCAGTAACCTTGTGCAGAACCTTTCAGCCCCTCAATGGGAGGACATCAATCTCTTCAGATCAGCTTTGTGGAAGACAGAGGAAGGAATAATGCAGGGGAGGGGGTCAGGATGATTCTCAGGATCCAGGACTTAGCCCAGGATGAGTTGCTACTGGCCATTGCTTCCTAGGTTGCAGGATTCTTCATCCTCTGCTCCTCGTTCTGTTCCCAGAATTAGATGAGAGGAGGGAAAGGCAGGGCGTGAACTCAACAGACCTCTCTGAGCTGGAAGAGGGAAGAGAGAAGGTGCTCTCTACAGACTCAGGGTGTTTTAAGGGGAGGAAGAAGTTTCCAACAGGAGACATCAGGAGACTTAGCAGGATACGTTGATTCCCGTTTTGTAATCTGGCCATGTTTCCCAGAGAAATGAAGGTTACATACAGACTTAGATTCCAGTCCTCTCTCTATCAACATTGAATTCATTGTTTACAGACATTTTCTGTCATGGCTGTAGGTCTTTCTAATACACTCTTTTTATTCATTATGATTCTTTTCTGGGTTTTATTTCTTATTTGTTAGAGGTGGATAAGTTCCATGTATTCAGAAAATTATCCTTTCATATAGGTTTATGCCCAGGTGTGGCCACAGACAACTGTGTAAGTTGACTGAATAATATGGTGTTTCTCTTTTTAGTCTCCTGTTGAACCTTTGACTTATGCACCCTCAGTAGCAAAATAGGCCACCCTTTCTCTGCATAGTTGAGAACTCCAGTAATTCTGATCTTGTTATTAGTCACTATAACAAGTGGGAGGTGATATCTCATTGTGGCTTAAATATTAATTTATATAGCTAACTATTTTGAAATTTATCCTTTATATATCTAAAACTCTGAAAATGTTTTCAATTAAATTTGCTTTTAATAGAGGCTATGTCTTGTGTATTTTATTATGTTTATATATGTATGCATGGTTTCAATATGACTGTAATTTTACTATAAATTCTATACTGTTCAATTTTGTTTTTGGACCACTTGTTTTCTCTAGAATCTTGTGATACATTACTGCTTTTGGTTTATATGTTTTGGAATGGCAATTTGCATTGGATTTCACCCACATAATAAAAGATGAAATTATGAGTATACAATTGAATGTTGTTTTCCATATTAAATGGTGTAGCTCTCCCATAGCAATCCTTATCTGGTGTGTTCATCATCACAGGAAAATCTGTATCTATTTCCAGTTATTAATTATCTAACCCTATTCCATCCTCACACACCCTGGAAGATGTAGCTCTATTTTCTGTGTGCACGGAAATGGATAATGTAGATACTCTAAGTCCCCAGTATTACACAGTCCATTTCTTTGTGTCTGTTACCATATTTTTGAAAGTATATCCAAGCAGTAATACGATATTAACACATTCTCTTTTATATGTGAATAATATCCCAATGTGGATATACCAGTCATTATTTTGACCAGCTTTTATGCATGCACAGACTTAATTGCTAAATTGTGGTTATAACTCAGGATTTTTATAGGAAAGTTAGATTGCATGATTTTGTGTTAAAGTGTAGTTTCAACACTCCTAGTGAATTACTTAATGAGAGAAATCATATGATGGCTTTCTTTTGGCAATTTCAGAATCTATTAAGTTCTTAGTAGACTAAGTATGAAATATCTCAATGTCATCACCAATTTTGAGGGCTCTAGTTTTTTCACATCCTAATCAGCACATGGTACTATATTTAAATCTCAAACACACAGATTGGAAGACAGTGCATAAAATCGGAGTTATTTTGTTAAGCAGATAAACTTTCATAGAAGCACTCACTCGCTCTCTATTCTTTGATGCATATAAAACTTTAGGAATGGCAATTCCATTAAGACAGAAATACATTGGTCCTCGCTTTGACTGGGAGAGAGACTGAAGAACAAGAATAAAGAGTGAGAGCTGCAAAGCATGGTGTTCATTTGGCAATTTAGAAAAAAGACTTATAATGCCATTGAAAGTTGTGCGTTTTCTTTCAAACGTACTGATGAATAATGGAGATTTTTCTTTTATTAGGTGTGATTATTGATGCTTCAAATAGTAAAATAAATTTGGTAAAACTTAAAAATTTAGTTATAAAATGTTAAAACAATATAAATGTTATGTAAAACACTATATATAAATGTTAGCTTGCATGAAGAAAACGTAATGAAAGAGACAGAGCTCAATATTATTCCATTTAAATACAAGGAGAGAAATGCTCACCAGGAGATGAACAGGAAGGAGAACTCAGATGAAGTCTCCCCAGGTCTTCAGTGCCCCCGCTCCTGTTATGAGCCCCTGGATGGTGTGGCTCCTGGGCATCCTGATCATGCTGAGTGCTCTGCTCTGGTCCTCAGCACCCTTTGGAGGGACTCAGCGTCCCCTGCTTGGCTGAGCTTGGCCTGCTGGTCCTGATCACCTAGAAGTGTGGTTTGTGCCTGGGCTCAGATGACAGCTTCTCACTGCGGATTCCAAATTCCTACCAGACTTTCACCAGGTTCCCTGAGATACCTTAGGTTGTGTTCCTGATGACCACAGCAGAATCATTTTTAGCTGAAGTGTTAAATTGTGTTTTGCACAGTTGAGAATGTGTTCTCCTATTTTAAAAAATGTGACTCATGACACATTTCAAGGTTAAGGACATATATCAGGTATCAGAGTGTCTGGGAATAAGTACTAGGTTGAAAAGGAGACTCAGATCCTAACAAGAAAACATCTTGGTTCTCTCTGTATTCCCAGCGCCCCCTGCTGGTCCTGAACGCCCCTGCAGGGAGGTTTGTGTCTGGGCTCACAATGATGTCCCCTCACTGTGTATCTACTGCAGTAATATAAGGCCGAGTCCTCGGTCCTTAGGCTGTTCATTTGCAGGTACAGAGTGTTCTTGGCGTTGTCTCTGGAGATGGTGAATCGGCCCTTCACGGAGGCTGCGTAGTTTATGGTACTACTATCTGATTTAATTTCCCCAAGCCACTCCAGCCCCTTCCCTGGAGCCTGGCGGATCCAGTACATCCAGTAGTCACTGAAGGTGAATCCCGAAGCCAAACAGGAGAGTTTCAGGGAATCCCCAGGCTGCACCAAGCCTCCCCCGGACTCCACCAGCTGCACCTCACACTGGACACCTGCAAACACAGAGACATCCAGCTCAGGAAACTGTCACACTTGTCCACTGTTTATTCCCTCAATGTCTACTCACTACCTCACTATCTCACGTTCACCAACAATTACCTTTTAAGACAGCAACAAGAAAAACCCAGCTGAGCGTAAGTTCCATTGTGAGCCCTCGGTGCTCAGTCCTGATCACCGAGTGGGAACAGCTGGGCATCCAGGGCTGGGCTCCTCTGCAGAGCTGCAGGGTCAGGGCTGGGCTGGCTTTCATCAGCACAGTGAGGCCCTATTTGCATGGCCTTCTGCTATATAGTCAGCTCTGGTGTGGACGCCTCAGCTACAGATGGCTGCAGAGCACATGAGCGTGTTCTGGGAGATATTTTGTAACATTCAAAATAAGGACATATGATTTCTTACTGGTGCTTGTGTTGTGATGGACTCTAAAGCTCATTAGTTTTCTGGTTTGGTCATTCCCTAAGTGTTACACATGTGCATCTAAAGCAAGAAGCAGAATAGACGAGCTCAAATCTGATAAGAACATCTCATGTATTATTGGCATGTATGCTTCTCACAGTTCTTACCCGCTCCACGAGCAAAATCCCAGTGAGAATCGGAAAGCTTAGTGATGTTTTCCAGAACTCTTCTTCCAGTGAGAGAACATGAGATGATTGTTCAGCA